GGACAGTAGGGAGGATGAGTGGAATATTTGCAGTAACTTGGTCAGGTGGAGGAATCCAAGAACAAGTAATCCACTCATTTGTAGGATTGGTTGAAGCACAAGCTTGTATCGGGATGGAAGAACCACCAGTGCCAAGTGTCAAAAAATAAAGGAGGGATGGAGATGAATTCTGAGGCTTTTGAGGTGCAATAGGTTGGGTTATCATTGGCATAGCTTGTGTTGTAGTCACGTGTACAGTATGCGGGACAAGGACTTGTTTTGCCTGTGTTGAAGTTGCTGTAGTTGATGTCTCCTTTGGCTTGGTCAAAATCAGCAGTCTGGCAACTGGTGGTGAAGAAACAGTGTGATTCTTCCGGGGAGAGCCTAAATCTGAACGGTTTTTCTTAACTGCAAAATTTGTCTTGGTNGAAGAAACAGTGTGATTCTTCCGGGGAGAGCCTAAATCTGAACGGTTTTTCTTAACTGCAAAATTTGTCTTGGTCTTCTTGAGATTGTTAGAACTTGGCTGGCTATTCTCTGACTGTTCTGGTTGTTGTGGCATGATAGCAAGTGTGGTTGCAGTCTCTGATGGATTAATAGAGAGCCCAACACTGGCAGCTTCAACAGGAGGTGGAGAAGGTGAAACAGAAGAATCACTTACAAGAATTGGCATGCTCAAAGGTACATTCCTTTTGTCTGACAGAACCTGCTGCTGTGAACTGGCAGTAGAGGTTCTTTCTTTCAGTTGACCTTGACTTCCTTCTGAGGTTAATGATCCAGTGTTGGCTTCCTTGTGTGCCTGAACTTGGATGCCTCCACTTCTGCATGGAGCAAGTTGCTTTGATGATGTGGATGGGGAAGCAGAAGAAACTTCTCCCTCATCATGGTTGCTCTTTGCCCTGACTGAGAATAATGCCCTGAAAATAAGGGAACGTTTATACTGGATCTGCTCTTTTGCAAAGGCATCCTGAGTCTCATGAACCATTCGGTCAGCAAACTGTTCCAGGTTTTCCAAAATATGGGTAACTGCAGAATGATTGCAAACACCCACCATCTGAAGAACAGGAGCCACCTGAAAATTTCTCACAATGTAACGCATCTTCTTCTCATCCCGTATGCCTAATGTCATCTTGCAGATGAGATTATACATCATTTCCAATAAACTATGAGTTGCAACATCTGGCTCACTGTCAACCTTGCAAGCCATCTGCCCATCTGGCAATGCACTCTGCTGATGCTCAGTGCTCTGACTTTCCACTTCAGAACTAGAAACTTCATTGGACTGCAGGGTTTCTCTGGACAAGGAAGGTGAAGATGGTTCCTCCTCCGATGCCCCAACCAGTCCTTCCTGGTCTGCCCCTCCATCTTCTGGATCAGAGACTGGAGACAAATGTGGGGCCTCTGCAGCATCAACTGACTCGTCAACAATAAGCTGTGGGCTTTTATCACCATCATCTTCCAGATCTGCAGCATATTCATCTGATTCCATACAGAGTTCCATTAATTCCTTTGGTCTGGCAGTGTTGAGTTTCTCCAGGTAATCTTCCAAAGGCTTTCGAGGATCTGATTGCTTCTGAGGGGACTCTTGAGATTCTGGTCTAATCTTTTGAGCCTTCTCATTAAACTTTGAGATGTGTGAGTTGGGACTGGAATCCCCTCCATTTTGATTTGAGGTACTGGCTTTTGGCTCACCAGAGTCTTCATCACCTGTGTGTCCATGGACTTCTATAGATTGCCCACCAGAATCTTCTTCCAACTCAAACCTCTTCCTAAGAGCAGCACCCACCTTAGCAACATTGGCATCTGTGGTTTCTAGCTGCTTTAACATATCCTGCAGCTGGTGAGTGAGGTGGTCTGACAACCTCTCCAAGCTATTTTCAGCTGTTCTGTCAGATGTTTCCTTCAGATCAGCAGGTTTTAGATCCCTCCCCAACAATCCTTCATCTTGAAGGAGAGGCATGCATACTCTTGGTGTTGTTTCTCCACCAGGCACATCAAGTTTTACTGTGCTTGAATGGTCCACATCAACTCTAGCATCCTTGATAGACTCTATTACTGAGCTGGAACAGGGCTGAATATCATCTCCAACAGGACTGGAATCACCAACCATGTGCTCAACAGCCTTATCATCGTCACTGTTACAAGTAGCATCATCTGATTTCTTATCACATGGTTGCATCACATCTAGAGAAGAGACATCTCTGGGAGATGCATTTCCTGAAAATTGGATGAGAGTAGAGGCACTATCATCACTATCTGTTTCCCAGCTCTCATGCATTCTCTCCCCTTCAGCACATTTCTCCTTTGATAATATCACAGTAGATGTGCTCCCCACATCAGATTCTGTCTCTGCATCCAATGAGGGTGATATTGTTCCTTTGGGAGATGGGAGAGGACTTGGGTCCTGAACTCTTCCCCACAAGGAGAATGGCTTCTCAGGTGTCTGGGGTGAGCTTGAAGCACTTTTTTCCTTTGGGGAGGGTTCTTGATGTGAACTGGTCTGCTTTGTATGGATTACACGTGAAGATGCCATGCGCTTGAATTGAGCAAGAGATTTACTCATCAGTGGAGATGAGCCACTAGGATTCTTCTTGTTCTTGAACACTCTTTGCCATTTAAGCTTCAGCTCTGAAACAAGTTCAGGAGACTTGGTCTGACCAGAGGTTTTTGCCTCTGACTGCAAGGGACTCTGAACTCCCTTTAGGAGCTTTGGTTTCTGTTCTTTTCTTTTCACATTTCTACGCCTGCGACTGCTTGCCCCTATGGACAGCAATCCACCACCACCACCTCTCTCTTTTGCTGTTCTACAAACTTCCTGCACCACTGAATTTACATCTACCTCCAAGCTAGATCCAACATGTTCCCGATCAGCTTCCTCAGTCTTGGAGATCTGACTCTTTGATTCATCCACGGAATGTTCACATTTTACACTTGACTGGGATGAAGACAGTCCTTGGCACAAAACTTCCTCAGGATCTGAATTTGCTTCCTCTTCCTTGCTACAATCAAGAGGTGGAGTACTTGCTTCATCAGAGAACTTTCTTTCTTCATGGTCTGCTTCCTGTCTTCCTGTCAGGCCTTCATCCTTGATTCCCGCGAAATGATCATCACAGATCTCCGACTTCTCACATTTTTCTTCTGGAGTCGCATCTTGTTTCCCACTCTCTTTGAGTGATTTTTCTTCCAATATTTCTTCTTTTGCTTTCTTTTCCTCTTCATCACTGCTGTCACCAGGAGGTGGAATCACACGCTTCAATAGACGTGCAGCTGAACGTGACTTTTCTTTTTGATTACTTAATTCCTTTTTCTCCTTATATGCATCACCTTTGACTCTGGTGTAATTTCTACCGTCATTCAACCCCTTCCTGTTAGAACATTTCTGCCTCGTGTCCCGGCCCGGAAGTTGCTTCTTGGCTGCTACTTTCTCGGCAACTGAGATCCTCCTATTCCTATTAAAGAATATATATACATATGCATAGATATTGTGTCAAGCACCAATAAAAACTCAAATTTGATTCTTCAGAAAGAGGCTGCTCATGACTGAGTCACTCACCTGAGTCTAGGCTGGCATGCAGGATGGTCTTTCTGTCTCCTGGAATGATCCATCCTTTGCTTCTTTGCTGGTGAACTATCCCAAAGAAAACCATTTCTTTGTAGGAGTAACAGATGCTAAATACATTCTAAATAAGGCATTCATAATGTGCAAGCAATATTATGATTTCCTCTGCTGGGCTGGGTTAGATAACCATAACCAAGAACTTTTCTTCAAGCCCCCAATAGTGCCAATCAATCATGACTGAAATACTTTGGCGCGGTACAACGTGGAATTTTATTAAAGTTGCTTTATAAGGAAAGTATGTAAAAAATTTCCAGAATGATTTTTCCAACTTTATTTATTTAAGTAGGCGTTACTTTGCAAGAGCAAGAATAACATGAGCAGTGCCAAGAAGGTCACGTTGGACAACTTGATTGGGATTTCTGCCTCTCGCATCACTGGGTACAGCTTCTTTGACAACATTTATGGTTGGCTCGTAATATCGCCGGTAGAAGCGGGTGTATACATTTCTGAAATTTACCGGTAAAAAACCTGCACATTACCACTAGCACACAGGGATTCCTATGGGGCCAGAGCGAACGAATTCCAATTTTCTGAACCAGAAGCAGACGCCCAGAAAAACGGCGACCTTCCGAGTCTGGCTCGCAGGAAGAACAAATCGATGATCGGGAAATGGGAGAAGGATGCGTTTAAGTATCGAGGAAATTCTGATATCACAAGGTCAACAAAGCACGAATTCACGAGCGCAAAAACAAACTATGAGAACAAGTCCGCTCTGAATGCCGTCGCTCCCGTGGAATTCTTACTTCATTACGTTGCTTCTTCGTATTGGTAGAGCGCAGCGCTCAGCGCCCATCACTGTGCAGCAGGAAGCAGATAACCTGAGCACGTGGCTCACCGCACGCGCCCGTTGGGTTGGGGAAGACCCGTTTCTCGTTTAGTCATAACCCTGAGGTTTTGTTTAACACAATGCACCTGAACCTTTCTGACGTGAAACGCCTGGCCAAACGCGAGTATCGTTCGATAGACGGACCCAGAATCCGTTAAATGCACACCAAGAACGATGGCAGTAGGGAGAAAAGAAATCGAGCAGTGGGCGCGGATTACGGTCGGAAGCATCTCTGTCAGTGGGATGCAGATGTGCAGTACCTCATGCTCTCTTCTGACGTCAGATTCCGCATAATCGACGCAGAATCAAGGCCTACACGGCACCCTTCCCCAGCCCACTCTAGCCGAACACATCCCTCGTCTTTCATCGGCAAGTTGGCAATTGCTATTCATGTAGGGAACGACGACAGGGCACTCGTGCACGCATTCCTCCTCGACGCAACCTCCACGTAATGAATGCAATAGCCATCTGAAGGAACGAACACTCGCGAAAAACAACTTCCACGGATCTTGGACTCACCCGTTCCTCTCGGCGAATGCAGGAGGTATTCGATGGATCGCGACTCGAGAGGAGAGAGAACCGAGACACGAAGGGAATCACGTGAACACGCATAGCCAGTGTGTCATTCTGACAGCGCCGATGACGCGTACATCTCGCCGCAGTCCAACGAATAATTTATCCAGCTGTGAGAGTTTTTAACGAACGATACCCCGACGCCACTTCTATCATCGTGTCGCTTCTGATAGGAGTTCAACCGAGTAATAAGGTTTTGCTACTCTGCAATGGAATTTCTGTGCTCTCTCCGAAGATCGAGGCTACGTTATGCTTTCACGTACATCAGAAGAGGATCTGTATCATGATGACGTCATCGTATCCACAAATCTTTCACAGTACTGCAAATACTGTGGGAAGCATCGCCGCACATCCCGACATGTTATTGATATTCCGAGTTAGTTACGATCCTCTCTCTTCTGTGGTTCAGTCCTGAAGAAAAGGGAGAACACGGGTGGGGGGGGGGGGGGGTAAGCACAGTGGCTTACACGGCTTGTCAGCAGTACTGCTCAACTGCGGGTCTGTTTCGAGACTGTCTACCGTCACTGGCTTTAGTGACGTACGGCATTCTTCAATTGCAAGACCGGCTACACTGAAATTGACCACACTGGACACGTAATACAAGCCTGACAGCTCTTCCATAACCTTCACTTTGACCTCAGACGACTTGGGAATGACTAGGAAGCCATAATTGACATCTGTCATGCGGTCCCAACGTATTGCAGGACTGGTGTTTCATTCCACGTTTGTATAAGGGGGAAATTCTTTCGCATGAGGCAATTTCCGGGTAAAACAGGAATTGGACAGCCTCCCGACTAACTGGCGTCGACTCAAGGTCCCCTTTCCATCTCAGATTCTGCTTGTCCTTCTTTACTCCCGCGGTTACATATGAAACGAATCTCCTTTACATCGATCATGCCCCGACCCGACTCAATGAGAGATCTTTGGAATTTTGGCCCGCAGCCCGTGCAGGACTCTACGCGGTATCTTCTTTTCTGTATAATTCTGCATATTTTCGGCACCTTCAGGGTGCCGAAAGACGTAGCATGGGCCCTCGTAAGGGAATAACACCTTTTAAAGTTGGGCATATTGCTTCATCAGCCGGGTAATACCTAGATTAGGGAATGTTCTGCAAATGAATGCAACCTAGACGTATCAGTAGTACAATGTGCAGTACAGGCACTACATGATGTAAGCTTTGAACAAACATTGATTTAATTCTTCCAACCATTACCAGTTTCCTGCATTATTCTTGTAGCACTACAAAAAAATAGATAATCACCAATGCAGGCTTAAGTCTCTACACACCTGAAATGCTTGAAAACAGAAATAAGTGAAATGAGACTATGCCTGTGGAATGATATTTATGTTACCTGGAATATTTCGATGATGCTTTCCTCTTCGTTGCTTTTTGATTGGATGAGCACAAATGGTTCTCCTCATTTTTCACGCGTAATTTTTCTCGCTCCTTTTCAATTTCCTCAAGTGACATGCAGTGCACCAAAGGAATGAGTTGTTTTCCATTCTTTTGTAGGAGATCCAACTGCTCAACATGCCTAGGTCTTTTGGAGACTGCTGATCTAGGCATGGAGCTTGATAAAGAGTTGTGAGCTCTGCAGATCTGCAAATATCCAGAGGAACAGCATCAACAACAATCCACTACTCGTCCAAACATAAGATGAAAAGGATTCAAAGCCTAGATTAATTCCAGTACTCTATGTATAAAAACCAAAAGTTTACACAAAAGATGATGCTAATAGTCCAAAAGCAAGTGTGCACAGGAATAAGCTTGGCACATTCCAGGCATGGGAAATACATGCACCAAGCACATAGAACAGGACCTAGAGGAATGAGTTTCACTTGGATGGCAATTAATGACTGAGCTGACTGGTCATCATACAAAAGTATGAGTCCACATTTACTAGTTGAAACAAAGGTCTTCACGTGGCTTTCTTGGGTGCTTTTCTTGCTAGCACCATGATCCAAAGCTCCATAAATAAATAAATAATAAAGCTTTGCTATACAATGATGACATAACTTGCAACCAGACAAAAAGGTATACCCTGTCTCATTCTAAAAATATCTGATGTTTAGGTACTACATGTGCATCTGCCACAGCTGACTCAGACTGAGGACTTTTAGTGGAGAACTTGGAGCTCACTGCTCCACCAGGCCTGGACAGTTCACACAATTAAAATTCTAGAATTTTCATTGTTGTCTGTATTACAAAAAAAAAAATTAGCATGGACCATCCAGGTCTTTTCCTTCGTGGCAAATCTTCAAATGGCAACAAATGATATTAGACAAACTGACCCAGTCTTGCATGATACCATAAGTCACAGCATTTCAATAATGTACAGAATCCAACTTGATTTTTTTTCAAGAACTACGAAACTGCTATTGTAACCTGGGCATCTCTAGACATGAAAATCTTTGTGCCCAGGCTCACCTGGCACCTAACCACATGGAATCAGCTCATCCTTTCACTGCTGTCTTCATTTAATCAAGGCATGGTCATAAGTTTAGATAGACCTGGTGTTAGAAATATGTCTCAAAATTGGATAAAGATGTCCAATCAAATATTTATGGAACATTTTGGTTGTGATGGTAAGTGGCAAATTGGATCCTAGGATCTACATGTCCCTGGAAACCTGTTTTTTTCCCAGCCATTTTCTCTATTTTCACAGATGGCACTTTCACCAAGTGAGGCTAAAGTGAGGAAATGAAGCACGATTGAGATTCAGAAAGTCACAATATGGGTGAATGAGAGATGGACTGTTTTCAAGGCATCAGAGCATTACAGCATCCCCTAGAGCACTCGGATATCTCTGGTCAATAGTTCTCTCACCCTTCAAGCAGAGCAAGGAAGTGTCAGTGCCTAGATTAAAGAGAATCTAGACAAGCATTCCGCAAAGTATCAGCCCCTGAAGGCCGAGGCAGACGAGTGGAATCCATTCTCATGAACTTTATTTGCTTAATGTATGCGGTAGAAAACCAGAAAGTCTAGAGAACTACAGAGCATCAAACTTTAACTAATAAAGCTGAATGCACTGTTAGACAAAATTTGCTAACTCCAGTAGAAAAAGGTATCAATCATCAGCTCAAGAGACCGAGTGCATAACCCTGAAAACGGTGACACATGACTTACAAAAAAGGGAATGTTGATGAAGAATCTATTTCCACCTTGTGTCTGTACGGAAGGGAAACTGATTCAGCCAGGTCAAGAAAGGCATTTATATTTTACCAAGTTATGTGTATTTATGCTGTTTTCTTGGTTCCCTCTCAATCCCTTCGTTGTCTCTACGAGAGCAATTCGTACATATATATGACCTGTGACGAATTCGACGAGGTATATGGTCCTGCAAGAGCGAAAGAATAAACATTAATATAATTACTATATTAGAGGGGTTGGGAGAGACTACAAGATCCTACTCATCGGAGTGTACTGGCGTGTAATATATCCACGAGACATCCCGTGAAAGTAATTAAAATAAATTGATTTTATTTTTTCATGGGAGCAAACTCGTTTTGGGTCTTTTGCTTGCGAGTCACATTACAGTAGAGGGGCACCTCAGTTGGTAGCGTCTTGCACGCTGAACATTTCCAGTTTTGGAGTTCCCGGTCTCATGCAAT